TAATAACGACGTTATTAAGTCGTAATAATGACATTTTATCTCGTTATTACGACTTTCTTAAGTAAGATTTTTTTAATGGTTTGCTATATTTGACCTTTCTACTTTCCGTATTATGGAAACATATCACTGTTGATATATACATGAAACTGACAAAATAAAATGAGTATCATCTGCTTATCAGGCACTTTGCATAGCGGCTTATTGAGTAGCCCCCAAACATTTGTTGGTTTACCCCCCTCCCCCTACCCCAACCCTTTCAGTTTGTTTTCTACACGTGCTTATGTATCATAAATGATATTTTGAAATAATTTCTGCGATGCTTAACACTAATGTCTTTAATTTAGCGGCATATAAATTTAGATTACAAGTATGTAAACAAAACAAGTCCAAATATATTGTCAATAATTACAGATTGTTGTCATAAATAAATTGTCAAACTCTGGTGCAACTGTTTTTGACAATTTTATAACTATAAACTATCATCGCATTTTCAGCTACACGACACCGTTATACCGGTTACGTTTCACGGAAACGTATAACCGCCTCGTGTTGTTGTTTTAGAACGCGATATTATGATATAAAAATGTTGTCAAATACAATTACTTCAAGGTTTGGCGATTTAATTATGATAACAATCTCTGATGATGATATGTTTTACACGACTTGTACTCTTTGATATATTCAAGTTGAATTCCTAAATGTCGCACATAAAATATTGTGTAAATATTATGCCGCTTAAATTAAATATCGCAGACATTAGTGCAATAGAACATATATGAAGACTTCGCTTGGACGACTCGATCTAAACAAAGAGAAAAATTTAACAAAATTGGACGACTTGTAGCATCAGATTTATACAAGATACAAAATTTTATCAGTCTAATTTGGGCCACTGGAGGAGCAAAAAAAAAATTACAAATAAAAGAAGGAGGAGGATCCAATTGATAGAACAGACATGATCTTACATATAATGAGACTAGAAACAATTGATAAAATATGACATATATACTGAATATACATACATGTACTGTATATATGTTATAATCATATTATACATGTAATCAAGGGCAAGCAACTGGGAAAAAATACATATATGCATATTAAAATATCCTCAATTAAGGTCAAACGAGACCTTCCTCAAAATCTGTTTTGTATATCTTCATAATGTATGGAAAATATTCAAAATTTGAATTACATTTTGATTTCTAAACCAGTTTCTAAACGTCTTTAAAAAAAATGTAAACACTTAAACATTTGAAATTGGAAAATCATTTTTCCTCCCAAAAGGATTATTTAAGAAAAACTACCCCTGGTATCTTGCAGAAATGCCTGGAAAGGTACCTCAAATTTTTGTGAGTAAACATGTTTAAGTAGTACATGTAATACTTCAATGACAAAATCTTGGAAAATTATATCTACTATTAAGGAACGTCTCGTCTGTCCTTAAGGTAGATTACCATGGAATCTAACAATTGATCTAAGGATGTCAGGGTCTTCATTAGTCATGAGCCAATCAAATTGAATATCATAAGATTGAACAATTTTACATTTAATTTTACAAATATTCATGAGTTCAAGTCTTTGTACATTAAGATATGAGGACAGACAAGGAAAACATGAATTTCATCCTAAATATAACGTACTGCACTGAATTGATGTCTGATTTAAATAATATAATTCAAATAGTGGATATCTTGCAGGCTCTTCCCTAAATAATAAATCTTATGAATGCTGCTTCGAAGGACAGTCACTATATCTGGCAATACTTGTCCACTATTCAATGCAAACTATGATAACGATAACTTTAATCATGTTCTTAGCTTGGAGAACATATGCAGACATATAAGCATTTAATATTTGATGCCATGCATTATATATGACCTCAACATATTGTTCATTCAAAATTTCAAGAAAGTTATAATAATGTTTTCTTTGATAATTCAATTGGAAAAGAAATAGAGTGCATGTCTGCACATACTCTATATTTTAACATTATGTGTAGATTGATAAATAGATATAATTATTCGAATTTTGTCCTCTTTCATATCAAGAAAACACACAAGCTCATTAGTTAGTGCTGTCGCAGACACAATTTGTTTTCCCCAATCATGTTTTGATTTATTTGGCAAATTCAGATTCATGTTATAATTTATAAAATCATATACATTCTATGAAGTTGCTCTTTGAGTATATTTAAAAAAGCATATTCATAAAGAATCATTACACTGTATAAACTGCAAGTTTCTTTTTGTTTATTCTGAGAAAAAAGATTGCAATTACAGACAACATGAAATTTTAGATTTTCATTTTTAAAACTCATTTTTTTTAAATAATTAATTTTGGAGAATGAAAATCAGGCACGTAGCTACGGTTTTCAAAGATTGCCCGAGTCCTACGAAAAGCACACACTCAGAAAAAGAGGAAAGCATTGTCTAGACATGCACTACGGGCCTGCAAGTAGTGCTATAACAATTTGATTTATTTTATTTAAATCAGACATGGATGCAATGCAATACGTTATATTAATAAATCTGATGTTACAAGTCGTTCTACTTTTGCTGAATTTCCTGTTTGATTAAATCTTGTCGTATTCGCGAAGTCTTCATATATGTTATATTGCACTAATGTCTGTGATATTTCATTTTAGCGGCTTAATTTTTACGCATTATTTTAGTGCGACAATTAGGAATTCAACTTGGATAAATCAAAGTGTATAAGTCGTCTAAAACATATCACAAAAGTATTATTCATTAGAGATAGTCGTCATAATTTAATCGCCAAACCTTGAAGTAATTATATTTGACAACATTTTTATATCATAATATCGCGTTCTAAAACAACAACACGGGGCGGTTATACGTTTCCGTAGTTTCCGTTCTTCTCCTAGAAGGATCAAGAAAATATTCCAAATGAAAAAAAATAAGAAGTCGTTATTACGACTTAAGAAAGTCATAATAACGAGATAAAAAGTCGTTATTACGACTTATTTTTTTTTCTTCATTTCTAATTTGACCCTTGTAGGCTTTCGTAACTCGAGGAAATGAAGTTTAAAATGGTATCGTTTTTGTTTGACATTTATCCGACCATAAGTTTTCCAGTGCAAATATTCGCGACTATCGTCTCCATCAATTAGACGCATGCCTTTTCACACATATCGAAGCGGTTTGATGATGAAGAGTCATTTCCATTGTTTACTTTATAGGCTATATATTAATTATGTTTCTTTATTAGTTTCCGAAAACTTTAATATAAAAGGTTTTGATATATTTATGTACCAAGGTTATGAACAGTACTAGTATTTTAAGCTAGCTTTAAACTTATATTTCAGTGGTAACTCTTAATGGATGCTAAAGACTATAGTAACTGTATATGTATCATATAAAATACAGTTGCTATCGTCAATATGCCCTATTTTAAAACAAGAGGCCCAGGGGCCACATCGCTCACCTGAGAAGCGTTGACCATTCTGTTCTTTACCAGATTTCCTCCTTGTAATACATAATGCATCCCCAACCTACCCCACTGATCATAATTTAGACATTTAAAAATCTACAGATCCCCAGGATCCTTCCATGTGCACATAAGTTTCAGCTTTTCTGGCCTAGTGGTTCTTGAGAAGAAGATTTTCAAAGATTTTTCCTATATATTTCTATGTAAAATTTGATTCCCCATTGTGGCCCCGCCCTTCCCCCGGGGGTCATGATTTGAACAATTTAGAATCAACACTACCCCAGGATGCTTTCACATAAGTTTCAGTTTTTCTGGCCCAGTGGTTCTTGAGAAGAAGATTTTTTAATGACCCCACCCTATTTTTGTCTTTTGTTGATTATATCCCCACTTGTGAGGGGACTTGGCCCATTATTTTAGCAATTTAAATTCTGCTTCACCCAAGGATAATTTGTACCAAGTTTGGTTAAAATTGGCCCAGTGGTTCTTGAGAAGAAGTCGAAAATGTGAAAAGTTTACAGACGGACAGACAGACAGACAGACGGACGCACGGGCGACGGACAAAATTTGATCAGAAAAGCTCACTTGAGCCTTCGGCTCAGGTGAGCTAAAAAATAAATACCGGTATATATAATATTTTGGAAATGTGAAAAAAAGTTATCAAAGCCGTTTTTTCTTGGGAAAGCAAGGAAACCATTCCTGTCACAGTTGTTGTGATTCCAAATTTGACAGGCCAAAAAAAAAAATTGCCTGGAAGAGAAAGTATATGAGTAATATTAATAACAAGATTATCTTTTGAAACATGACTTGCAGTGGGCACGACCTGACTTTTATTCAGAAAATTATTAGATAGGTGTATATTTCGTATGCGTATTAAATTCTCAAAGGGACACAAAAACACCGTAAAATAACGAACAGTATTCCAGCTCAAAAGTCCATAAAACAATACAAAATGGGATCAAACACGGACTTCTAAAACATCACAGGTGGGATCAGGTGCCATGGCGGAGTGAGCATCTTCTGCCGACCGGTCATACCCGCCGAGTGCATGCTCCACGTCTTGATCGGGAAATAACGGGAAAATCCGTCGTCAATTCAGTGTGTAAATAATGGCCTACCATTTAATACGAAAAACGTCAGTATGATAAATGCCAATCAGCATTTGACTCAATGATAAATTGTATTTGCTGACAAGATCATTGTATCGACCATAAATCTTACAAAACGATGACTTTGAACGAGACTGTTGATTTTCTTGTTTCATCAACGTGTTTGTCAATAATTGAAAAGTGGGAATCGCCGTAATGCCGGCCAATTTCAAAAATTGATACTGTACAAATGACATTAAAATGTGTGATAATTGTTTTAAATCCCAATCTCATATATCTTTATGCCACCAAGCGTCCTCGCACCCTTTACTCTTGATCACTTAATTGTTGAGTGATCAACATGGGGATTCCATACTTTTTTATAATTTTTACAAAACGGAGGTAATAAATAATGAAACAACATAAGTGCTTCTTTATTAAGTTACCTAGCCGAAAGACGTGCAACTGTGCTCGACAATCATCAGTAAATCTGCTCCGGATTCTTTCGTAACTTTTTAAATTAGTGGACAATATCAGTGCAATGCCGGTAATATTGGTATTCGGTCTCTGCATTTGCATTTGTTTTTCTTCTCTTTGTAAGTCACAGGCAATTTTTAATGAGCCTTGTGAAGAAATGAAAAGCAATGGACAGGAATTGGAAATAATCAAGAAAACAATGGAATCTCAAGTACTTTTGTTGAAAAAGGAAATGAACGATTTTGATAGTCAACAAAAATACATTCAGAGTGTTTTAGAGATACAGAAAACTCAATTTTTTGAAGCTTTCGAGCGCTTGAGGTACATGTATGATACTACAGTTCAAAGTATTAGGCAATCAAGTTCCTTGCAAAATTCCAAAATCAACACCCTTGAGTCCCAGCAAAATGACAGCATTCGTTCAATTAAACAACTATCTACAGCACTGGATTCGTTAAGTATGTATTATATAGATTCGAATGTTTAAAATTGATATAGTGTACATGTACATGTATTTCAGTAGGTTTACTACACTACTCACAATTTCCTATGATTTTATTTTACAGTTTCTATCCGATTTGTAAATGGTAGTGCCGTTACTTCCCGTTACGGACGAGTCGAGGTGTTATACGCTGGTGTGTGGGGAACAATTTGTGACGATGCCTGGGATAATAAGGACGCCAAAGTCATCTGTAAAATGAAAGGCTACAACAGGTAAATTTTTAGCAATTTAAAGTTCTTAAACAAAACTATCTTATTGTCCATTTTTCTATGGCTAGAAAAAAAGTCTAACTTATATCATGCCGTCTTCATTGTATATGACTTCTGTTAATAAATGCAAAGTAAATTTTGTTACCATTTTTGGTAGAGAGCTGATATTCGGAAAAAATTATAAGGAGTCTCCATTTCTTTTCTTTCCCCTTTTTGGTACAATAAAGGCAAAGGTCGTATTCAGTGCTCAGATACATTTCCCCATCTTCTGATCAGAATTTTAAAAGTTTTTTTTTCCATTAACTTTATTAAAAATCACTTAAATATCTGAAACCGCCGGTTCAAATTTCCTCATTTTGACATATTTTATTCTGGGTTCCATTTCAATAATTCTGTTAATTTTTTTTAAAGAAATTAAATAATACGATGGGTGATCAAAAAGTTCGCGAACTAATTGAATAACTTCCATAAATGAAACAATATTTGGTTTCAATGTTGATTATATTTTTAATTAATCCTCTCCGATTTTAATGCACATCAACCACCGTTCTGCGCATGCGCGATTCACGTGATATTGGCGGTCACGTGACTCCTTCCGTAGCGTTCTGTCACAAAAATTGAAAGATTTTTCTGAGTTTTATATTTCTTTCCATTTGAGTTAATTTTTATGACAAGAACAGTTCATTTGTCAGAAATGGTCAAATCTCGGCAACAGAATAGGTGAATAAGAATATCCTTTCCCAAAATAAGCATGGCGACCATTAAAACACAAATCTTCTGTCTCGGGAGAGACCTTTATTCAAGGTGGATAGAGAATAGGTGCCTCCTTTTTATCATATCTAATATGTTTAAAATCCAAAGTAAACGATATCTTAGGTATTTAATAATCATATTATTGTTCAAATAATCAACTATTTTTCAAAGTGTAAATTGGAGGTCTAAATTGCTTAATTAAAAATATATATCTTTTCAAACTTGCTTTTACTGGGCAAGATGACAAGTATCATTTTTAACCATCTGCCTTCCTTCACTAAACGATCAATCCAATCATTTACTGAATTTATAGGAACTCATTCATCTTAATAAACTGTGTAAAAATTATTATATGATACTGCAGAGGGATTTCTAAGATATACAATAAATTGTACAGTCGTTTGTTGAACGAGTTCTACTAAGACAACCATTTTTCGTCACAAGTGACCTCATAGTGACGTCATTTTCACATTGTGACGTCAAAAACAAGGAGAAAATCTTTATTCAGTATATGCTATTTATAGATCTTGTGTATGGCTATGTGTGTACCGAATATCATTTTAATTAATCTGAATTGTGGTTTTGTAGATATAGAGATAGTTCGCGAACTTTTTGATCACCCCTCGTACATTTCCGTTATAGAGGACTTGACGCGTTGTATATTTTTATGTGAATGCTATGTATGTTCTATCTTTTTGAAAACACATCTCACTCATAATTACCAGAATCAAAATATTTTACTAATTAAAATTATATAGTAGAACAAAAAGACTGCCTGTATAAACAGCATCGCGCAAGTTTACAATTTATAGATCATTTGGGTATTTTTAAATATTTTCATTTCTTTATGAGATCTTTTTGATAACTCTTTGAATATTCGGTGAGTTGGTTACTTCATCATTCAACCTTAATGTAAATTTCTCCAAGCGTAAGGTCAGGAGACTTACAATGTAATAATTATATATTCATGTAAATTTTCATGCGTCTGTCTTATTGTCTGACGTCAGTGGGCGGTGGCTATTGCAATTGACGTGGTATGCATCGTGTAATTCCAGTCTATTAGAAAACAATTAAAAAATATAAATTATAAAGTAAAAATTTTATTTTACAATGAAACGGAAATATAACGAATCACTTTCTAGTGTGTTTGGTATGCCAGAGACATCAACGATAGTTGGAACTGTTGGATAATTTATGCAAAACGGGCTTCGTTAAGTGATTCCTTAAATAAGGTGCAATCTCAGGTTGGGTATTCAGTATCTGATTTCACAATATTTTCATTTCTATTTTTTTTTCTAGGATAACTCTTCGAAAGTTAGAGGAGTCGATTTCTTTATAATTTTACTGGAAAGTTAATTTCGCTAGACAAAAGTTCAGGAGCTTTATTTCACACATGACTTGTATTTTACATGTAAATACATGTATAAGGAATCATTGTACAGTTTGTCGGGTATACTAGGAACGTCAACCTGGCATAACCCACAAACTAGACAGTGAATCCTCAAAACTTTTTACAGGGGTTTGATATACTAGTACATTTCTTCTAACTTTACGGGCAAAAAATATGTTACTGATTTTCTTTCATATTACAAATAGGTAGAGATTTTTTAATCCTAGAACAAAATATATAACAAAAATATAATGAAATATATTGGAGATAACGAACAGTATATGAGCTCAGAAGTCAATTAAACATTACTAAATAGGAGCAGAGCAAATATAGACCTCTTAAACATCGGAGGTGGGATCAGGTGTCATTGAGAAGTGAACATCCCCTGCCACCGGTCACATCCGCCATGTGCTCCTTGTCATGATCTGAAAATAACGGGATCCGTCGTCAATTCAGTGTGTAAATAATGGCCTAACAATAAGTATGAAAAAAGGAAGGGAAAAAAGTCAGTCAGTACATGCATTTGACAAAGTTTCAATAAAACTACCTATATTTGTGTACAACCTTTAGTCTTAATATATGTATTGCAAAACTTTGAAGGGAAATTGAAAATATATTGAGCGTATCGCATTTCGTCAAAAAACCAAAAAAAAACAAAAAAAAAACAACAACAACAAAAGATATTAAGATTTTTGTTTCAGCCAATCGGAGCAAAGCGAACGTGCATGCATGTGAGTTCGTGCTAATTTGACAGTGTCATTATCTACACTATCAATATATCCTTATACAAGTTTATCTTTTAAAAAAGATAGGTGAGCTAGCGTAGTAGCAAATTCTTAAACACAGAAAGGAAGGTCCGTGATCAAATGATTTATTTTGCTGAATTTTTAATGTTTATCGAGGCTGGGTTGTGATAAATGACCTTTGTTCCATACATCTACACAACATGCCTATTAACCCTAAAAAGTTTTTAGCACAATTGGATGGACAGCTTCCTCGAAATAGAAGCTTGGACAACCATCAATTCGTATCAGTCCTTTCAGTACTTTGATTTAAAAATCAAAGTTAAAGTATCTTCACTTTTCCCGTTTCCATGGAAACTATTTTGAAAATTTGCAATTTTTTAATCCAATGAACACATTTACAGATACTAATTATTACATAAATAAAATTTCATGAAGAATGTTCAAGGGACCAGAGAGAACACTCTGCGGACAAAATTCGTCGCTTTTTGCAGGTTTCCATGGCAACGGTAGCCATTTTGAAATTGATTGACCACACAACATAACTACATCCAGTGATCCTCCTTTGAGGAAAGTTTCAGGTTTCAGGAATATTGTCCCAACCATCTCGGAGAAACAGCCTGGAGAACAAAAACATCCGTACAATCGCAATATGTCGCCCCCGACTTCGTTCAGGCGACATAACTACAAAGTCTGCTATTGCAAGCAATAGCATATTTCGCCCCAAAATGGACAAGACTTTCATTTTTTGTATCACTAAAACAATACCCATTAGCTAAGCTTGGCCAACCATCACTTCGTATCAGTCCTTTTAGTACTTTGATTTAAAAATCATTTTCCTCTGGTTTCATGGCAATAATCGATTAATGTTTGAAAATTTTAAATTGCGAATCGCACAACTACGTACAATTACTTATCACTTAAATAAAAAAAGAAAAGTTTCATGACGAACTCAAGGAATCAGAGAGAATACCTGTGGATAAAATTCGTCGCTTTTTACAGGTTTCCATGGCAACGGTAGCCATTTTGAAACTGAATGACCACACAACACAACTACAACCAGTGGTCGTCCTTTTGAGGTAAGTTTCAGGACCATTGTCCTAGCCATCTCCGAGAAACATTACAGCCTGGATAACAGAAACATGCGTACAAATCGCAATATGTCTCCCGACTTCGTTCGGGGCGACATACCGTATTATCACTGATTTTACTGTGTCGGCAAAATTTTTACTGTGTCGCACGCATAAAATTTGAGTCGTTACTGTGTCGGAAGCAACACAGTAAAACAGTTCATGGTGAACCGTGAAGACCTTCCTTTGGGTACCAATTCTTTTGACCTTTTCAGCTTGACCTTTGGAGTTTGACATGCATTTGAGAGAATTCAACCCTCGCCATAAGCTGCCATACGGGGGCATCAGAATATCATATCTTGTTTTTTTCTTTAAATTCATTTGTATCGCCTGTCTTTAAGCTCAAGTGTATGGTCTTTTGTATCTTTTGTAAAACATGGCCAAGAATTTTGATTCTGAAATCAAAGTTGTTTTTTTAAGCGCCTCGGGAAATAGACTTGCTCTTGGGGAACTGGAATCTTGCTGACTCCCTCAATGATATACTTTAACTGTTTTATTATACCGATACAAACAAGACATTTGAAAAAGTTATGTTCAGTACTGTATTCTGTAACATTGTTTAATTCCAACAGGAATAGATAAAAAAAATACGACAAAACAGAATACAGTCATGAAAGAAATTCCATTTTATCAATAAATCAGTTCATTGTCCGAGTTTTTACTTATTAAAATCGAAAGTAACATTACGCAAATCTTGAGCTCGCCATATTTCTGTTGTCGTTCGCTTCCAGTAAACTATTTCTTTTTGATTGATATGGGACCAGTTGACTCGCGATACATTTCGATTCATTAATGAATATTCATGAGTTTACTCGGAACATTTTTAAGTTTGTCGTAAGTTGAAAGAAAATGCTAAGGGTTCCGAATAGGTGTGTATCAGTTCATCAAAAAAACGTACTTTTTTTTGCAGGGAATCAGTCTGTTTTGCAGGGAATCGGTTTATTTGCGGTAATTTTCAGGAAATCAGCAAAATATATCGATTTACTTTTATATAGTGAAAAATCAGTAGAGGTATAATAAAATATCATATCTTGTTTTTTTCTTTAAATTCATTTGTATCGCCTGTCTTTAAGCTCAAGTGTATGGTCTTTTGTATCTTTTGTAAAACATGGCCAAGAATTTTGATTCTGAAATCAAAGTTGTTTTTTTATTTCAGTGGTGGAATAGCATACAGGTCGGCCACTTACGGCGAGGGAAGTGGACAAATATGGCTTGATGACGTTCAATGTACCGGAACCGAGTCCTCGCTAATGGAATGTTCAAAGCGCCCATTTGGACAGCACAACTGTAGACACCACGAGGACGCAGGTGTATCCTGTAACTGACATTCTAGATGACAGAACAAACATGTCAAACTATTTAATCACCTTACAGATTGATAATTTATGTAAATCATAAAATACATGTAGCATAAATTTGAATCCAACACAAGATAAATTCGCTGCTGACTTTGCTAATAAAGAAATAATTGTACAAGAAGAGTTCAATGTTATCATCTGAAAACATTTATTTGACATGTATACGTATGCAGAATAAATATCTATTTTACCTTACTTCTTGTTACAATTTCAATAAACCGTGTCAGAGAATACGAGACGTGATAATACGATTGACATTACTGGACAAAAAAAAACCCTTTTAGTCCACGGGGGGTCATGGAGGAATTTGAACTTGATTTTTTTCCCAAAAAATTAATGTAATATATCGGAAAACTTACGCAATTGTTGTGATAAATTAAATGTATAACATATATTTACGTCTGAAATTGCTTATAAGCTAATAGAGGCTATAATGAATGGAAAACAAGAAAAATGGTTGAACAGATAGCTACATGTATAGGTAGTTCTATTATAAATTTCTAATTATTAATCTTATTTACTATATACATTTATATAAAAACTACATGTATAGGTAGTTCTATTATAAATTTCTAATTATTAATCTTATTTACTATATACATTTATATAAAAAAAAAAAACTTAAATGGATAGCTGGAAAAAAAATTCCAAAATTACCTATAACACATTATGTTTGCTATTTTAAGGATTGGTAGATTATAATGGACTATTTCCAATTTATTTCTGAAGCTAAAGGAAACTTTTAACTGCGGTTCAGATAACATACAATCGTCAAAAACCGAATTACAGTATCCGGCTACATCAACCTTGTTGACAATAACATGTTTTCAACTAACGAGATATTTTAAATGACTGTTAATTAAACCTTAATTTGGATTTTTTTTTTTATCTCAGCTTGCTGATCTAAAGGTATATGATTGTCCATAGAATAAATATGAAAAATGTGATGACATATTCCGAAATTTAATATATATACTCGCATACGTATACACAGACAGCATATCAACCAACCCGAGTACAGAAAAATAAAACTCAGTGAACATCTTGATATTTGTGGACAGGGACAATTCACAGTTTATCCCTTTTATAAACTCAAAACAGAGAGCGTTTTAGAAAGACGGGTAAAAGAAAAACATTCTATAAATATTTTTAAACCATCCTTAAATAGTTTAATATAGACTGTCTCATGACTTAATTATGTATTACGCTATGAATTATGTCATTTTACTTTGGCTCTATTATTGTTTCCTCTAATAGCATTGTGACGTCATTGAATTGTTGTTGACGTTATCAACAGGTAACGTTATTACGTCACATTTTTGAATTGTTTTCAAATGTAAAACGTCTGAAGAAATAATGAAGAAAGCGCTTACGTTTTACTAACATTGTTGCCTTGTCATTTTTTTTCTAATATTATATAATATTATATATATATATATATATATATATATATATATATATATATATATATATATATATATATATATATATATATATATATATATATATTATAACAGTAACTTGATCCAAAGGGTCGTATCACGTCGAGTTGACAGGCGCGGATCATCAGATCAAACGATCATGATAAGTTTATTATATACCCCCTTATAACTAGCAAAATATATCAAAATAAAACTTTAGAGATCAATTGTATAATATTAATCCATTAAACAAAGCATAATAGCAAGGGACTTTTTAACACGCAAGAAAAATAGCGTCATGTTTCTGCGTACTACGTCATCAGTTTCAGAGAGTGGTGATACGGATTCAGAAAACCACAGTGTGGTGATCCGGAAAGTTAGCCTGGTTCCCGAGGCCTTCCGATGTGCACATCGGAAGGCCTCGGGAACCAGGCTACCGGAAAGTCGGATCACGACGTCACGTGATAGCCTAAAATTAACAGTAACACTGAGTGATACACGTTGGGTATATAATAAATATAATTATAAAAGAAAAAGAAAATGCAGTTTCCAAATTTCATTTAACACAAGCGCTTTCTGGATTTCATAATCCGTCTTCAGGTGTACATAAATTGAACTGATTGTTTTGCTTGGTAACGTTAACTATGACATCATGAGAGTCTTTGCAGGGAAGGAAGTAATCTATGACGTCATAGTATGGTTACGTTACGTAAAAGTTAGGGAAAATCAAATTGGACAATAATGGACAATAAATCACATATTTTTCAGTCTCAATAAACAAAGTAAAAAGAAATTCTAATTGCTGGTATATAAAAATAGGTAATTTCTCAATGTTAAAGTTTGTTAAGTTTTGGTGAAAAAAGATTTATAAAGTAGTTTTCTTTTGCTAATCTCATTGCAGTGGAATCGTTCCTAAGTTTATAAAAGGGGAACACACAGTAGTTTTCTTGTGAGCAAATATCGAAATGTTCACTGCATGGCGTGTTTCTGAGGCTCGGATTGTTAATTTGTTGGCGATGTACGCGCATGCGGGCGGTTAATTGGGTCCCAGTCTGGCCGATGTATTCCTCTCCGCAGTTGTTACACGTAATACAATAAAGGAGGTTTTTGCTCTTACAAGTCATATTTTCATTCACAAGAAATGTTTTTCCACACTTGAAAATAATAGAGGATCCTGTTCGTAGGTTAGGACAGGTACCGCATCTCGGATCACCGCATCTTGTTACGGAATATTGTTCTGGAATGGTGCTGAATTTAGCTCTGGTCAATAGTCTTTTTAAATTTGGCGGTTGTCTTTGTCTGCGAATCAAATCCGATTTCGGTATAAGTTGTTGAAGATCATTATCCCGTTCAATGATGGTAAAATTCTTTCTTAATTGCCTCTTGAAATATATTAATGTGTTTCGGATTGAATGTTGTTACAAAAGGGATTAAGTACGTTACGTAAAAGTTAGGGAAAATCAAATTGGACAATAATGGACAATAAATCACATATTTTTCAGTCTCAATAAACAAAGTAATTATATATATTGTTAATTATATATATATAATTATAATTATATATATTTAATATATTAATATATATATATATATATATATATATATATATATATTAGGGATGTCAACGAGTACCCGGTTAACCGGGTACTCGATCGAACGTCCGAGTATCGAATACTAAAATCGGTACTCGGTTACTCGGATGTATATTTTTGAATATTTCAAATCTTATTTATTAAGGCATTAAACAATCTGTTTTAAAACGTAAAATGCTCATTGCACTTGTACATACAGTAATTAGGGTTTACTACGACTCTAAATGACCGTTATCGCCTGTGGCAGTGTTTATACAGTAATTATCGTGAAGAAGTATCTGGGGTACCTCAGCTTTTCTCACCTTCGGCTGCCTTCTTCCCTTGTTATTTTTTGTTTGGCTTTAATTAATTGTTTATTGAACATCCTTTAAGATCCATTATCATGATTATGTTTAAATAAATTAGATAATTCTCCGAGAAGCCGTATATTCTCGGGAAAAGAGCGGATGATATTACACGTGCGATTGTTGATATGGTTGTGTTTGATTACATGCCAATACAACTGGTTGAAGGCAAAGGTTGCATCAAACTACAAAATACCGTCCCGTAATACTGTATAAATCTCGGATCGAACAAGTGTACTAAAATCGTAAATCCGCTGTGTTAAGAGAACTTGATCAAGTTCAAGTTGATACTGTACGTAGCTCTGACGACTGATACCTGGTCGTCAAACGCGACAAAGAGTTACATTACAATTACGGAGCAGATTATTTTTTTAAAACAAAAACAGTGTGGACAACTTATGATTTTATTTCTTGTGTTTATCTGATAAATGATTGTAATATTAAATTTCGTCAGGCACGAAGTGCTCATCATTATTACAACAGATAAGCCTCCTATCAGTGCATCTGTTTTTATTTCTACAAGAGTTTACAATGTTTTACAGTCTTCAAATTACTTGTTTATATTTATTTATACTTTTACCGAGTACCCGGGTACTCGATCGGAAAAACGTCCGAGTAACCGAGTATTTAAAATTGACCGATTTGACATCCCTATATATATATATATATATATATATATATATATATATATATATATATATATATATATATATATATATATATATATATATATATATATATATATATATATAAAATATCATTTGAAAGAGCTGTAAATCTTTTTAAAGAGGGTGATTTGGTTTGTGCTTTCTGCTGCTGAAAGTATAATCAGTTATCTGTCATATATCCCAAACTTTGTTCGCTGAAATACAAATTTATCATTGAAATATGAAATTTAAAATTACCCACATTTTCTAACCATTTCTTTTCTTGAACCGAGTCTCCGATAACAACCGAGTGGCCGATAATGCGTTGAGCAGTGTGTTACAATAAAACTCTATTTTATTTTGGCGTCAAAAAAAAAAGAATTGAAATTCATGAAGTCATAATTAATACACTAATTATGACGTCACAATCAATCTGATTCAAAGCCATTTGCTGATCTGAAAAAAATCATGGGTCTCCTTCAGAGTTGTTTTGTCAGAAAAAATAAGGTTGGTGTCGCAAAGGAAGAGATGGAAGCGTACGAGAAAGTGCGGAAAACGATGGTCACAGAGGAAGTGACAGAAAGAGAGTCGGTGTGGCCTTTGATATTACCTTTTTCTGAGAGGAAACTCCAAAAAAGCCGCGACCAAGACTGCTTGACAATAAAACGGGAGATTTTGAAAAATGGAGGGGTAGGTTTATGCTAAAATTAATATATACTTGCGGTAAGACATGTTACTTTTTAAAAAAATATTCTATGAAGGACTTAGATACATGTATATATTTTTCTAATGTTCATACTTACCATGATCTCGAAAAGATTTTTTGCGACTTCCTGATTTTCAGTAGGTTAATAACTGGAGGATATGGCATAGGATATTTTTTTGTTCGTGCTAATTTTGTCAGTGATTATAATGTTTCAAATTACATTAAATTTTGTATCTTTCAGAAAAAGTATTTAAGAG